AAAAACCCCCCAAAACCACAAAACCCCCCTAAAAAAACCCCAAAAAAACCCCAAAAAACCCCCAAAAAACCCCAAACACATTTTAGGGGAAAAAAAGGGTAAAAAAATAATTTTGGGAATATTTTAGGGGATTTCAGGGGCATTTTGGGGTGAATTGGGGGATTTTTGGGGTCAATTTTAGGGGGATTTTTGGGGTGAATTTGGGGTATTTTGGGGCAGATTTTGCGAGGGACTTTAGTGGTATTTTGGGGGGATTTTGGGGATATTTTGGGAATATTTTGGTGATATTTTGGGGCTATTTCAGGGATATTTTGGGGATATTTCGGGGATACTTTGGGAATATTTCGGGGATACTTTGGGAATATTTCGGGGACATTTTGGGGGTATTTTGGGGATATTTTGGTGATGTTTCAGTGATATTTTGGGGCTATTTTGGGGATATTTTGGGAATATTTTGGTGATGTTTCAGGGATATTTCGGGGATACTTTGGGGCTATTCCGGGGACATTTTGGGAATATTTTGGTAATGTCTCAGGGATATTTCGGGAATATTTTGGTAATGTCTCAGGGATATTTTGGGGATATTTTGGGGATATTTCGGGGATATTTTGGTGATATTTTGGGGATATTTCAGGGACATTTCGGGGATATTTTGGGGATATTTTGGTGATGTTTCAGTGATATTTTGGGAATATTTTGGTGATGTTTCAGGGATATTTTGGGGATATTTTGGTGATGTTTCAGTGATATTTTGGGGATATTTTGGGGACATTTTGGGGACATTTCGGGGATATTTTGGGGATATTTCAGTGATATTTTGGGGATACTTTGGGGCTATTCCGGGGACATTTTGGGGATATTTTGGTGATGTTTCAGGGATATTTTGGGGATATTTCAGGGATATTTTGGGAATATTTTGGTGATGTTTCAGGGATATTTCGGGGACATTTCGGGGATATTTTGGGAATATTTTGGTGATGTTTCAGGGATATTTTGGGGATATTTTGGGGCTATTTCGGGGATATTTTAGGGATATTTCAGGGATATTTCGGGGATACTTTGGGGCTATTCCGGGGATATTTCGGGGATATTTTGGTGATGTCTCAGGGATATTTTGGGAATATTTTGTTGATGTCTCAGGGATATTTCGGGGACATTTCGGGGATATTTTGGTGATGTCTCAGGGATATTTTGGGGATATTTCAGGGATATTTCGGGAATATTTTGGGGATATTTCAGTGATGTTTCAGGGATATTTCGGGGCTATTCCGGGGACATTTCGGGGCGTTTTCTCCCCGCACTCACTGCGGTAGCTGAGGTTCTCCGGGTACTCCACCTCCCCGCGCGCCACGTCCCCGTTGGCTCTGCGGGCTGGGGACCCTTGGGTGAGCCCCCCACCCAAAAGCGGGGCTGGGCGGGACCCCCCGGCCCCCTCGGTACCTTCCTGCCCCGCCCCGGGGGGTTTTTGGGGGGCTGCGGGCGCGTTCCGGGGGCGCTGCCGGCACCACTCGTTGACGTGGTGGAAGGAGAAGAGCTTGAGGAAGAGCACGGTGTGCACGGCCAGCGCCAGCGCCGCGCCCACTGAGGGAGAGCGGGGCGGCTCAGCGGCTGTTTTTGGGGGGGGATCCCCGAATTTGGGGGGGGATCCCCGAATTTGGGGGGTCGCAGCCCCGCCCGAGGCTCACCCGGGGTGACGGAGGGCAGCAGCAGCACCACGGCGGCCGGGAAGCAGAGGATGCTCAGGAGGTTGAGGCAGCGCAGCGCCCAGCCCGCGCGCGCCGACACCGAGCCCTGGGGGCGGCCAGGTCACCCCAAAAAACGGCACGAGGTGCCCCAAAATACACCCGGAATATCCCCAAAATACACCCAGAATATCCCCAGGATGTACACAAAATATCCCCAGAATATCCCCGGAATATCCCCAAAATACACCCAGAATATCCCCGGGATGTGCACAAAATACACCCAGAATATCCCCGGAATATCCCCAAAATACACCCAGAATATCCCCGGAATGTACACAAAATACACCCAGAATATCCCCGGAATATCCCCAAAATACACCCAGAATATCCCCGGGATGTACACAAAATACACCCAGAATATCCCCGGAATATCCCCAGGATGTACACAAAATATCCCCGGAATATCCCCAAAATACACCCAGAATATCCCTGGGATGTACACAAAATACACCCAGAATATCCCCGGAATATCCCCAAAATACACCCAGAATATCCCCGGAATGTCCCCAAAATACACCCAGAATATCCCCAAAATATCCCCAAAATACAACCAGAATATCCCCGAAATATCCCCAAAATACAACCAGAATATCCCCGGAATATCCCCAAAATACACCCAGAATATCCCCGGAATATCCCCAAGATGTACACAAAAGATCCCCAGAATATCCCCAAAATGTACACAAAATAGAGCAAAATGTTCCCCAAAATATCCCCAAAATATCCCCGGAATATCCCCAGGATGTGCACAAAATATCCCCAAAATATCCCCAAGATGTACACAAAATATCCCCAAAATATCCCCAAAATATGCCCAAAATGTACACAAAATATCCCCAAAATGTCCCCAAAATGTACACAAAATAGAGCAAAATGTTCCCCAAAATATCCCCAGAATATCCCCAAAATATCCCCAGAATATCCCCAAAATATCCCTAAGATGTACACAAAATACCCCAGAATATCCCAAAAATGTACACAAAATATTCCCCAAAATATCCCCAAAATATCCCCAAGATGTACACAAAATAGAGCAAAATGTTCCCCAAAATATCCCCAAAATATCCCCGGAATATCCCCAAAATGTCCCCAAAATATCCCCAAGATGTACACAAAAACCAGCAAAATGTTCCCCAAAATGTCCCTAAAATATCCCCAAAATGTACACAAAAACCAGCAAAATGTTCCCCAAAATATCCCCAAAATAGTCCCCAAAATATCCCCAAAATGTCCCCAAAATATCCCCAAAATGTACACAAAATACAGCCAAAACATTCCCCAAATACTCCTCAAATACACCCAAAATATGGACAAAATATTCCCCCAAATAACCCCAAATACTCCCCAAAATACAGCCAAAATATGGACAAAATACTCCACAAATAACCCCCAAAATACAGCAAAATATTCCTGAAAATATCCCCAAAATACAGCCAAAATACAGCCAAAATACAACCAAAATAACCCCAAATACTCCCCAAAAATGCACCCAAAATACAACCAAAATACAGCCAAAATATCCCCAAAATACAGCCAAAATACAGCCAAAATAACCCCAAAATATCCCCAAAAATGCACCCAAAATACAGCAAAATAACCCCAAAATATCCCCAAAAATGCACCCAAAATACAGCAAAATAACCCCAAAATATCCCCAAAAATGCACCCAAAATACAGCCAAAATAACCCCAAAATACAGCCAAAATTCCCCCAAATCCTCCCCAAATCCTCCCCAAATCCCCCTAAATCCCCCCAAAACCCCTGAAATTCCCTTTAAAAACCCAAAATTCCCCAAAATCCCCCCAAAATTCCCCAAAAAACCCCTGAAATTCCCTTTAAAAACCCAAAATTCCCCAAAATCCCCCCAAAATTCCCCAAAAACCCCTGAAATTCCCTTTAAAAACCCAAAATTCCCCAAAATCCCCCCAAAATTCCCCAAAAAAACCCTGAAAATCCCTTTAAAAACCCAAATTCCCCCAAATCCTCCCAAAACCCCCAAAACTTCTCCCAAAAAACCCAAAATCCCCTCAAAAATCCCTTTAAAAACCCAAATTGCCCCAAATCCTCCCCAAATCCCCTCAATCCTCCCATATCCTTCCAAAATTCCCCAAAATCCTCCCAAAATCCCCTCAAAATCTCCCCAAGATCCCCCAAAATCCCCCCAAAATTCCCTAAAATCCCAACAAAATCCCTCCAAAATCCCTAAAATCCCTTTAAAACCCCAAAATCTCCCCAAATCCTCCCAAAATCCCCCCAAAAATCAAAAATTTCCCCAAAATCCCCCCATATCCTCCCAAATTGCCCCCAAAAATCCCCCA